AGGAACTGCTGGTGACTCTCTCTCTTATCATGACGGTGAACCATTTTCAACTCGAGATAAAGATAAGGATAGTCATGGCTGTCCCACGAGGTTTCACGGAGCCTGGTGGTACAATAACTGTCACCTTTCCAACCTAAATGGCAACTATCATCACACAAATCCCTCGCCCTTTGGTGTTGGTGTGAACTGGAAGAACTGGAAGGGACATTACTACTCCCTGAAGAGGACCGAGATGAAAACAAGACCAGCGGATTTCGAAACTTTCTAAAGAGAGGCAACAATTCTACGCAGAATAGACAGAAATAGACATAGCTATGGAAATGGTGCTTTCAGCTAGTTTACAGGTGCGCCAAGAAAACAAAATAACAAAGTAAAACTGTACATTTTGGAACAAATATTAAACTTAACTAACTAAGATTGTATTTAAAAACATGATTCACCTCGCAGTTATACACCCAGCTTCAGCAGTTGTGAAAAAAATCCCCGTTCAGGCCTGAATTCAAGGTTTAATTTCACAACTGCTAAGTTGTGTGTATAACTGCGATGATCAATCATACTTCATATCTTTCTCCTTAGTTCAAATCTATGATCTTTCATATATTCACTTGTATTCTTCATCACCTACGGGTATATTACGAACTGACAATGTGACCAGCTCCCAGTTGGCTTGATAGCTCAGTTGGTAGAGTACTGCACCGGTATCGCAGAGGTCATGGGTTCGAATCCCGTTCAGGCCTAAATGTCTAAAATGTGTGTATAACGGCGATGATCAATCATTTCTTAATAGTGAGCTTTACATTGCATTTACATTCATATTTATTGCTTAGTTCCTCGTGATCAAGGAATGTGTCTAGTCATTTTGCTCTTTAGGACGACGTGATCGTCATAGCTTTATAGAGCAATGAGTTATCACCATTTCCACTCCCCCGAACACACACGAGTAAAAACCGTGACTCGGACAATTTATTTTCATTATTAACTTTGTCTTAGTTACAACAGTTAATCATTTTTTAACCAAATGTTTCAGGAATCGCTGGTGACTCTCTCTCTATTCATGACGGTAAGCCATTTTCAACTCCAGATCAAGATAATGATGACTATTCCGAAAACTATGCCAAGAAGTTTCACGGAGCCTGGTGGTACAATAAGTGTCACCATTCCAACCTGAATGGCGGGTATCATGATGACTCTCACTCGGACTTTGGTGTTGGTTTGAACTGGAAGCTCTGGAACAGACATTACTACTCCCTGAAGAGGACCGAGATGAAAATGAGACCAGTGGATTTCTAAACTTTTCTCTTCAATTCAGTTGTTTTAAACACTGGCGAACATTTTAACCTAAAATGACAAACTTGAGTTTGCATATCAGGATAAATGTAAGCCACTGATAAGAACGCGCGCTCAAGCAAACATTAATTTAAACCTATGAAGAAATTGCTTGTTTAATCAGAGACAGACATAAAAANAATCCAATCAGTTTCAGGAACTGCTGGTGACTCTCTCTCTTATCATGACGGTGAACCATTTTCAACTCGAGATAAAGATAAGGATGGTCATGGCTGTCCCACGAGGTTTCACGGGGCCTGGTGGTACAATAACTGTCACCTTTCCAACCTGAATGGCAAGTATCATGATGACTCTCACTCGGACGTTGGTGTTGGTTTGAACTGGAAGCTCTGGAACAGACATTACTACTCCCTGAAGAGGACCAAGATGAAAATGAGACCAGTAGATTTCAAAACTTTTCTCTTCAATTCTGTTGTTTTAAACACTGGCGAACATTTTAACCTAAAATGACAAACTTGAGTTTGCATATCAGGATAAAAGTAAGCCACTGATAAGAACGCGCGCTCAAGCAAACATTAATTTAAACCTATGAAGAAATTGCTTGTTTAATCAGAGACAGACATACAAAATGAACGTTTAACCAAGAAAAAAATATTTTCCACAGCCGACAACATGAGCTGCAACTGACTAAATTACTAATTATGCCATATTCAAACAGAACTGGTCACTGAAGATGGCACGTAAAACAAACAGCTTCAAAAGTCAATTTCCTTGCGATCTTGAATTCACCTTTTAATTCATGATCAAGATGTCAAAGTTTGTTTGCTTGTCATTTGCTCAGATGACCATGACAATGCAGAACCAGTTGATAGTTCCTGAGTTTTTCCAAAAAACCTTAATTGATACGATTGCGGTATGTAGTAATCAAACCTCAGTAGTTTTCAAATC